TGGGTATATTTATACATTCTTCCTCACTGAGGTTTCTTGTGAATTATGATTGCATTTCTTGTAATGAATTACCTGTATCATCTTCTTTGTTAGTTTCATGTTCTGTGTGCTCATCACTAATGTATCCACAAGGAAGGGGCTCCCAACACCTCTCAGTAAGGTCTTCATACTTCAGGCTCTGTTTTATTTCTCCCTGGGGAAGCATCACTCTTGGGCACTGCACTCTCCTCATCTCCTCTGGATTGCCTCTTCTAAGCCTGGTGCACAACTGTTCTCCTGGCAATTTCTTTTTGTCCCCTTTTTTCCCCTTGATGTAAACTTTCAAGACCTGCTCTTCTAGCAATTTTCAAATATACAATATCGTATTTTAACTATAATCATCATGCTGTACATTACATCCCCGTGACTTACTTATTTTATAGCTAAAAATTTGTACTTTTTAACCCCCTTCACCCATTTAGCCTGTTCCACACTATCTCTGGCAACCAACTGTTTGTTCTCTGTATCCATCACCTTGGTTTTTTTGTTTGTTTGTTTGTTTGGGGTTTGGTTTGGTTTTAGATTCCACATATAAGTGAGGTCATACAGTATTTGTCTTTCTCTGTCTGACTTATTTCACTTAGCATAATACCCTCAAGGTCTACCCAGGTTGTTGGAAATAGCAAGATTTAAGAATTAAAAAAAAAAAAGGAAATAGCAAGATGTCTTTCTTTTTATGGCTGACTAATATTCCATTGAATATATATACCACATCTTCTTTATCCATTCATCCATTGCTGAATGCTTAGGTTGCTTCCATACCTTGGCTATTGTAAATAATGCTGCAATGAACACAGGGGTGCATATATCTTTCTGAGTTAGTGTTTTTGTTTTCTTTGGATAAATGCCCAAAAGTGGAATTGCTGGAGATGGTAGTTCTATTTTTAATTTTTTGATGAATCTTCATATTGTTTTCTGTAGTAGCCACACCAATGTGCATTCCCACCAGCAGTGCGCAAGGATTTCCTTTTCTCCACATCCTCACCACTTGCTATTTCTTTTCTTTTTGATACCAGCAATTCTAACAGGTGGGAGGTGGTATGTCATTGTGGCTTTGATTTGCATGTCCCTGATGATTCGTGATGTCAAGGGTTTTTTCACATTGGCCATCTGTATGTCTTCTATCTTCTTTTTTTTTTTTTTAAGATTTTATTTATTTATTTGAGAGAGAGAATGAGAGAGAGAGAGAGCATGAGAGGGGGGAGGGTCAGAGGGAGAAGCAGACTCCCTGCCGAGCAGGGAGCCCAATGTGGGACTCGATCCTGTGACTCCAGGATCATGACCTGAGCTGAAGGCAGTCGCTTAACCAACTGAGCCACCCAGGCGCCCTGTCTTCTATCTTCTTAAATTGAGTGATTAACTTGTTAACTGATACTTTTCTCTTTCCTAGTGTAAGGATTTGTGCTATAAATTTTTTCTAAGCATCCCTTTAGTTGCAAGGCCCAAAGATCGATTCTAATATTTTTGTTACCATTCAGTTCTGAATATTATCTAATTTCCATTATGTTTTCATCTTTGTCTCATAATTTATCTAACGATGTGCTCTAAAACTGCTCAAAGTAGAGGGGTTTTCTAGCTATTGCTTTGTTATTGATTTCTAACTTAATTGCATTATGATTAGAGAAGATAATCTCTATGTTATCAGTCCCTTGAAATTTGCTGAGACTTGCTTTAAGGCCCTGGATATGGCCAGTTTTTATAAATGTTCCTTTGTGCGTGGTCAAAAAGTATCTGTAGGCTACAATTGTACTATGTCCTATATAAGACACAGTACATACATTGTGCCATATATATGAAATCAGCTTGTTGCTAAGTTTTTGAAATATTCTATATCTTTACTGATTTTTGTGTCTCCTTGATTTATCGGTTCCTGATGGAGGTGTATTTAGATTTCCCACTATAATGGAGAAATTTACCAATTTCTCCTTGCAATAGGCCAACATTCACAGTATCTATTTTGAGATTTGTATTAGATGCAAACAAATAGAGAATTATTATATCTCTGCTGAGTTGAGACTTTCACGGAACCTCTTGGAGTGTTTTCCTACACCAACAACCAATCCTGTGATTCTCCAGACACCAACTGGCTGTTCAACAATTCATTTCAATTTTGATACTGACACCTGGGAGTTAGCACAGACCCCACAGTAAGGGCTCAGTCCTACAAGAATGCACCCCCTGCTCCCACTTTCAGATGTCATTCACAAGTCCCAGGCCACCCATACTTCTGACCATGGGTTAAAAATCGGGAGTTCCCACGACCCCTATTAGGTTCAATGACTTGCTAGAACAGCTGACAGAACTTAGGAAGGCACTTTGCTTATGTTTAGCAGTTTATTATAATGGGTATAACCCAGGAACAACCAAATGGGAGAGATGCATAGGGCAAGATATGGGGGCAGAGGGATGCAAGGCGCCTTCATGCCCTCCTCAGGCACACCACTCTCCCCACACCTCATGTGTTTACCAACCCAGCAGCTCAAGTCTCTTTGTTCAAGAGTTCTTATGGGGCTTCATCTTCAACCTCACTCCCTCTCCCAGAGATCGGTGGGGCTTGAGAGGGATGCTTAAAGTTCCAATCCTCTAATCACTTGGTCTTTCCAGTGACCGGCCTGGTTGTTAGGCTCTCTAGCGCCCCCACCTTAGGTCAGCTCGTTAGCACACACTCAGGTGTGATCAAAGGGGACTCATTATGAGTAAAACGAGATACTCAGGAAATTCCAAGGGAGCTCAGGCTGGGAACCAAGGAAAAGACCAAATATATTTCTTATTATGCCATACTTTTTAATGACCTTTGTGGCTAGTAATAATTTTTGCCTTAAAGCCTATATTTTTGATATCAATACAGGTATACCAGCTTTTAGTTAGTATGTGTTCTTAGTATTTGTCTAGCATATCTTTTTTAGTTTTTAAAAATTATTATATAATTCGTTGAAATAGATGCAAAAGTCTTATTTTATTTAAATTTCCAAGTTCAGATTTCAGATATGTTTTAAAAGTTTACTATGTAAACTTCTTAACATATAGAAAGTACTAGAAAGACTGGTACAATGATCACCTACATACCCACCGCCTAGATTAAAAACTTTACTGTTTTGTCATATTTGCTTCATCTGCACCTATTTTTTAAATGAGGTCAGGTGTTTACATAAGCCTAATACCAAATCACTTTATAAAATTAATATTCTTTAATATTTTTTAATACCCAGTCCACACTCGGATTTTCCCAATTGCCCCAAACTGCTTTCACAGTTGTTTTTCACATTTAGTTGTTTGTCCCCAACATGTCTTTCAATCTAGACAACCTTCACACACCCTGTATTTCTCCTTCATAGCATGACTTTTCTTTAAGACATCAGACTGTTGTCATGTAAAATGTTCATCCTTTGAATTTTAACTTTTATAAATGTTTTTTTTTTATTTTTCATTTTTAAGTAATCTCTCCACCCAACGTGGGGCTTGAACTCACAACCCCAAGATCAAGAGTCACATGCTCTGCTGACTGAGCCAGCCAGGCGCCCCTGGATTTTAATCTTTTTATCCTTCTATTTTAAGTGTATCTGCTATAAACTGCATTCTTTAAATCAGTTTTCTAACCCAGTGAAGTGTTTATCTCTCACTTGGCAAGTTTAGTCCATTTATATATATGGTGATTACCAACCAATATATTTGGAATTCATTCTTCTGTCTTATTTGGTTATTTCTACATATCCCACATTTTTGTATGTAATTTTTATTTTTCAACTGAACTGGGTATCTTTGTTTTGTTTTCTTGTTTATTTTCCTCATTCCTTTTTGCTTTATAATTAGCTTGGAGGTTTCCACTCCACGTGTCCCTATCCTATCCCCTCCTGCCACGTGAAACAGGGGCCTTCACGAGACCCACCCTTTGAGTTTGGCCTGTGTCCCCTGCTCTTGGGAGCTTGAGAACTGGTAGGAGATGTTATATCAACAGAGCTGAGACAAAAAGGAAGAAAACTGCACTGGGAGAAAACTATTCTTCTATCAATCTTGGGACGCGGATGGGCGTGCGTTTACCCTGGGCCAGATCGGGGCCAAGCAGGAGGGAGGTGGCACGAAGCCATGTGTAAGTCCTGTCTGGGCTTCCAACAGGTCTCCAGACAACCAGGGCCGACAGAGGAAACATTTGCAACCCGAGGGAGAAGCCTTGCCCTGTGGAGGGAAGGCCAGCTGGCCCCAGCAGAGTATTTCTGAGGAAGCCATGAAAGCCTCCTCAGAGAAATGGCCACTTTGAACATCTGCCACGTCCAGCAAGCCATAGCAGCAGAACTCAAGGGACCACCCACGAAAGGTCTTGCCTCATCCCCAACCACCCCCCGACCCCAGTCATGGGGGCAGCCACATGCGGGAGGGTCTGAGGTAACCCAGGCAGAGCTGTCTGGCCATGGGGAGCAGGGAGCTGAGGGGACACAGGAAGAGGGCCCACAGGAAGGGTGCGGGGTCTGAGACTTGGGGGTCCGCAAGCTAGCCCACGTGCAGAGGAAGCAGGTGGCTGGGGGTGGAGAGACGAGGCTGAGGAAAGGCGTGGAGAGCAGAGGGAGTTAAGAAAGGATTTCACGAGATGGGCAAGAGCCTATACTGACTTTCCTCGTGGCAGACATTTGCTTTGGTTTGGTGTAGACTCCGCCGAACAACCACAGACTGTAGCTACAGAGTCCGAGAAGCCGTGTCGGCTCTAGTCCCAGGCCGACGGTCCGAGTTGTCTGATGGGTCCTGCTCTTGCCCATCGGCCAGGCCCGTGTGTCTCCCTTGCTGCCCCCCCGTCTCCCCACAACCAGAAAGACCCGTGACTTGAAATAGCTGGAGCTGGACTGGCTCCTGCAAGACAAAGAACACAGCCACAGACACAAAGGGAGAGAAAAGGGCCGAAGCCCAGGGCGCCACTGTGCGTGGCCAGGCCCAGAGCCCAGCTGCGCCCCAACACACTTCACACCAGCCAGTTCTTGCTTCATCTCCTCCAGTAAAGTGCTCCCTTGTTGGGCTTTATTTTATTCTGTAAAAATAAGCCTTATTGTAAAACAGAGTGAAATCCACAGACCAAACCTCAAAACCTCTGGGGCAACCAGATCCCCTAAATGGATAAAGTCACTGCTGATGGGACAGGCCCTTCAACTCATTGCTTCTGCCGCTTGTTTCTTGAGAACATGACTCCAATGAGGCCCATGGCTGCCAAGCCGGCTCCTGCGATGCCAGCCGCCACAATGGCGTCCCGGACCTGCGGGAGAACAGGGGAGGTCACGGTCCGTCGGGAATCCGAGGACGGGCTGTACACTCAACAAGAACATTCAGCTTAAGGACACTCATGTGCCCCTTGGCCCACTTGACAAACTCAGGAGTCAACAAATATTGGCCGGGAAATGGGGAGAAGAGGACTGGATGGGGAAAGAGCCGCTGCATGGAGCCAGTAGGCCAGGGTTGTACATGGGCCCCAGTGCAACTCGATCCACTCTGCAGGTATTTAAAGCACCTAAATCCCCAGAGGGCGATTGTGGAAAGGACAAGAAGATAAAGGCAGGAGGGCTGAGATCCTGGCGGCCATCAGGGAGCCCTTGCAGCCAGTGTGAGGTGGCGCAGGAACGGCTCTCGAATGCTGACCATGTCACACCTGTGCCCCCCGGGAGAGCAAGGACCTCACGTGTGTCACTTGTCTTGTTCCTCGCTGCATCCCCCACACCTGGTTCTGCCAGGCACAGGGGTGCTCTTTACGAGTCCTTAAAGAAATGACCCAACTTGGAGTAGTAGTGATGCTCTACTTTAAATTATTAGTATTTCTGACTTGTATGGCTCATACTAGAAAAAAGAAGTGTTGCAAAAATAAGACTAGATTTCAGGGTAAAAAGTGAACCCATGTCAAATTTCACTCCCCCCTGAAACTTAGCCAAGAGTAAAGTAAGGCATTTGTTTTAGGCATAATTTCACAAGGACCCACAGAACTCTAAATTCTAAGGCAGCAGTGGGAAAAGTTGAGGATCAATCCGAATTATACAACAGGACCCTCGGGAAAGGTCAGTTATTGTCAACACCAAATAGCTCTGGAAACAAGACAGAGAAAGAGCTTCAGCTAGGTCCCTGGAAACCCCTCCCCCCACCCACAACAGAAGTCCAAAAGTTTATTCTCTACAGAGGGTGAAACAGAAGACTTGGGGGCCTGGGATTTGAAAAACATGTGTGAGGATGCAGATATCATGCCAACAACGAGGGACTGAGAGACCATAAACAGGCTAACTGTGAGACTCTTGGCCCTCCTACCCGTTTCTACTCCCAGAACACTACCTACCACACAAGAGTCAGGAAAACTTTCCTGGGGAATCTGACCAGCCCAAGTGGAAACAAAAGATACTTGGGGCACCTGGCTGGCTCAGTCGGAGGAGTGTGTGATTCTTGATCTCGGGGTCATGAGTTCAAGCCCCTCATTGGGTATAGAGATTACTTAAATAAATAAATAAAACTAAAAAAAAAAATATCAACCAGAAGTGAAACTCAAAGTCAACAAGTCACTTGTCCCTTCCCAGTTCACTCAAAGCTTCCATTCAGCAGCAAACCCCCCACCCTTAATCATGAGCATATGACCAAGATACCAGACATCTGAGGAAGACCTCTAAAACAGAAGACAGAGGGGCGCCTGGGTGGCTCAGTCGTTAAGCGTCTGCCTTCAGCTCAGGTCATGATCCCAGGGTCCTGGGATCAAGCCACGCATCGGGCTCCCGGCTCTGCAGGAAGCCTGCTTCTCCCTCCTCTACTCCCACTGCTTGTATTCCCTCTCTCACTGTCTCTCTCTCTGTCAAATAAATAAATAAAATCTTTAAAAATAAATAAATAAAACAGAAGACAGAGAGCAAAACAAACAAAAAACAATGAGAAGAAACAAAAATCGTATCTAGAAAACATCTTTTTAAAAATTATCAGCAGAGAATAAAAGAACATATTACATCCAATAAATAAGAACATGGTGCTATAGGGTGCCTGGGTGGCTCAGTCAGTTAAGCACCTGCCTTCAGGGTCATGCGATCGAGCCCCACATTGGGCTCCCTGCTCATCGGAGAGCCTGCTTCTCCCTCTCCCTCTGCCGCCCCCACCCCCCTCTTCTGCTTTCTGTCTCTCTCTCAAATAAATAAATTAAATATTAAAAAAAAAAAAAAATGGGGGGCTGCCTGGGTGGCTCAGTCGTTAAGCGTCTGCCTTCGGCTCAGGTCATGATCTCAGGGTCCTGGGATCGAGCCCCACATCAGGCTCCCTGCTCAGCGGGGAGCCTGCTTCTCCCTCTCCCACTCCCCCTGCTGGTGTTCCCTCTCTCGCTGTGTCTCTCTCTGTCAAATAAATTAAATCTTTAAAAAAAAAATTAAAATTAAAATTAAAATTAAAAAAAAACATGGTACTATACAAAATAATAGAATATTGAGAGAATACAAACAATTCTTAGAAAATACAATGGAAATGACAGACTCAATAAAAAGTTTGAAAGATAAAGTTTAAGAAATCTCTCAGAAAAAAAAAATAGTAAAAAGATAAAGACACAGAAAACAGAAGCCAAAGGTTAAAAAATAGGGAATAATCCAGGCAGTCTGACATCTGAGTAATAGTAATTCCAGAAAGAGATAATACAGGAAACTCAGAGGAAAATCAAGAGTGAAATAATCCATGAAAATTAACAGGACTAAAGGACATATGTTTTCAGATTGAAATGGTGCTCTGAGGCCCCTCTTAATGGATAAACGTAGACCCGCAACAAGGCACATTACTGTGAAATTCTAGAAAACTGGGTAAAGAAAAGATACTGCAACTGCTAGAGCAGGGGAGAAAAACAGAAGCAGAGGAAAGGCCAGGAATTGGGATTGAAAACTTCAGATTTCTCCAAAGCAATGCTGGAAGCAAGAAGACAATGGAACATTGCCTCCAAAAGTCTAAAGTAAAGCAATTTCTAACCTGGAGTTCTCTACCCAAACTATCAAATCAAGTGGAAGGGTAAAATAAAAAATAAGTCAGAAATACAGGTTTTAAAAATGTATCTTCTATACATCCTTTTTTTCTTTTTTTTTTTTTAAGATTTTATTTATTTATTTGACAGAGAGAGAGAGAGAGAGAAAGAGCACAAGCAGGGGGAGTGGGAGAGGGAGAAGCAGGCTCCCCATGGAGCAGGGAGCCCAACACAGGGCTCAATTCCAGGACCCTGAGATCATGACCTGAGCTGAAGTCAGATGCTCAACCATCTGAGCCACCCAGGTGTCCACATACATCCTTTTTCAAGAAGCTGCTGAAGGAGGTTCCACCAGAACAAGGGAGTGAACCTAAAAAGAAGATGTGAGCTACAGAAGAGGGGCACTCCAGGGCAAGAGAGGATAGAAGGGAATATCTTGAGCGTGATGGGGAGGGGAGACTCTGGGGCAACAACTTAGTACCAACTGTAGACAGTAACTGGTAAGTAGACATATGGGCCCCCTGAAGATGTCCATGTCCTAATTCCAGGAACCTCTAAGTATATTGTGCTACATGGTTAAGGGAGAACTAAGGTTGTAGATGGAATTAGATTGCTAATCAAGTTACCTTAAAAAGGGGGAGATAATCCTGGATTATCTAGGTGGGCCCAGTGTCATCACAAATTTCCTTAAAAGATGGAAGAGGGAGGGGTGCCTGGGTAGCTCAGCTGTTTAAGCGTCTGCCTTCAGCTCAGGTCATGATCTCAGGGTCCTGGGATGGAGCCCCTCATTGAGCTCCCTGCTCTTAGAGGAGTCTGCTTCTCCCTCTCCCTCTGCCTCTTCCCCAGCTCTCTCTCTCTCTCTCTCTCAAATAAATAAAATCTTTAAAAAATGTATAATATAAAATTATAGTGAGAGAATGGGGGAGGGGAGGGAATAATGGTTTAAACAGTTTAACCTTCACTTAGCATAAGAAGTCGTCAAAAGAGCATAGCTAAATTTTTTGAATAAAATGATTGTAGTGGGGTGCCTGGGTGGCTCAGTTGGATAAGCATCTGACTTCAGCTCAGGTCATGATCTCGGGGTCCTGGGATTGAGCCCCAGATTGGCCTCCCGGCTCAGCGGGGAGTCTGCTTCTCCCTCTCCCTCTGCCCCTCCCCCACTTGTGCTTGCATGCGCTCTCTCTCTCTCTCTCAAATAAATAAATAAAATGTTTTTTTAAAAAAAGATGGTAGTAAACACATATTGTTTAGAAATTCAGAAATAGGTAAATGCCAAGCTAAAAGAGAGAAGAGTGGCTGCCTGGTCAGACGGGGAGGAGTAGAGAGGGGTATTTGTTACAGGTCTTTGAGTACTGGTTATCTTTTCAACTTGTGTGCATGAATTACTTTGAAAATTTAAAAATTAAATTTTAAAAACTTTTCCAGAAAAAAACAACAAAGGACAAAGAAGCATGCCTAGTCAGCCCAGAAACCTGATATAAAACCTCTTTGCACCCGCTAACTTCAAATGCCAACAGCATGTCTACGAAACTTGAAAGGCAAGAAGATGATGGAGGAAACCATCCCACAGGGGAGGCAAAGACTATGGGAGTTCTAGGAAGACAAGCAGGTGACGTCCTAGTAAACAGCCACAGGAAAACGTCACTGACGTATCACACGTAATGGTGTGTAACACAGATCTAACAGAAGCAGGTGTTTGCTGATGTGATAGTTTGGCTTTGTGATGGGGCCATACACACACAGCTCAGGTTCATCCTTCACTTTGTTCCAAACATTCCCCTTACCTTGACCTCTGATCTCCAATCTGATTTATCTCAAGTGCCTAAAAGTGCACTCAGCAGAGCTATGGGTGGTTCAGACCAGGGCTCTGCCTGCCTCTAATAAGCTTTCAGGAATTAGATCTGGCATAGCTAGCGCTTCTTTGACCTCAGCGTTCAAGTACATTTGATGTACACAGCACTCTCCTTGGACGATTCGAGAACCTGACAGTCCATCTCTGAACAGAAACATGGTGGCCATAGACTTGAGCTCCAAAGGCATCAAGAGCTTCGGATTCAGTGCCAATAAAAAGCCTCCATGAGTGAGTGTTGAGGATGTGCTCTGAAGCTTAGAAAACATCCAACACAGAAGTCTGTTGCCCTAATTTGCAGTCTGGCTACAAGGCCAGCGTATCTGGTGGCCCTGTCCCCTGCCTCTTTCCCCATCTCCGAGCCACAATGTCCTTACGGCCACCATTGCAACCCCTTCATGTTTTATCAGGTCCATCAGCAACACTGAAGGGAACAGAACTCAGTGGAAACAGTTCAGATCAGCAAGAAACAGCGAGAAAGTTCGGCCTCTTCCTATTTCCAGCACTATCTAGTCGCAACTCTGGGGGCACCAGCCCCTGTGACAATACACAGGGAGAGTCGGCCCTCATAGCCACTGTCCCCAGTGAAGGCACGATGCCCCAAATCAGCAAAACTGTACTTTTTCCCACATGAGGGCACGAAAGAGTGTAACGAAGAGGGATCAAGAAATCTCCCCTACGGACCAAGCCAGGCATTAAGCAGAATCAAGAACAAGCAAAGAAAAGGATTTTTAATCATCGTTTTATACCAAGAAGTCCAGTGAAGACCATGGACCCCAAATCCCGGGAATACAAAGGATGAAAATACAAACTTTGTACCCAAAACTAACACCCTTCCTTACCTGACACGGCCAGCATTGCCTTTGCTCTCCTAAGCGCAGAGCTTGTGGCTGCCAAAACCCCTAATGACCATTACAGAGAAGAATTTGGATGTTTCCAATGGTTAAAAATATAAACACCTTGGTGCTGCCCATAAATGTGCCCTACATGGCCGTGTGCGGCGTCAGGAGACATGCCGGTGAGACTCACAGCACACGGTACCCAGAACTGAGATTCCTAGCAGCCAGAAGCCACATGACAAGGTTTGGATGAAGCTACAGACCTGAGGTTTGACTGCGAGAGTCAGTCTCTAACCTTCCCGTTAGAGGTCCTCAGGCGTGGTTTTGTGGCGGCAGTGATTCTGGGGGCAACCGGCACAAAAGCTCTTGTCCCCAGCGTTTTCCCTGCTAAACGATCTGTCAGGGTGGGAGGAACAGTCTGCAGATAATGGAGGAGGAACAATGTGGCCCCAGTTCTTTACAGAACCTCATAGAGTGAGAACACATGAGGCAGCAGCTTCATACAAAACGTACTTTGTCAAGGAAATCAACAATTGCCTCACTGTGAGCATGCTCGGTACAGGGGCAAAGAGTATAATCAAATACAAGACAGAGGGCCCTGGTTAGTCCTGAGAGTGCACATTTTAAGGGGGGGGGGGGGGGGACGCGATCCGCCCCAGAGTCAGCACTACGTTCAGACGTCACTGCGGCTGATTTCCTGGTGGCCGGGCTGCTGGATGAGCCCAGCCTCGGCGCTGAATTACAGGAGCTCTGATCACGGAAAGGGCCCCTGGTGTGCAGCACAGGTCTTAAAGCAGAAGATCACGAAAGAGAAAAACTGTCCCTCATTAGAAATGCTAAGAAAGCTGCCTTTTTTTTTTTTTTTTAACGTGGACAAACAGAAATTCTATGAGACCACAGAAAATGAGCTGTCTATGCTACACAGCGTTAAAGCCTCAGAGTTGTTTCCGGGAAAAGGAAACTTCTCGTGTGCTTTCTTCACCTTGAGCAATGTTTAAGTCGGTAAAAGACAAACGGTTATTCAAAACACAGGATTCTTCCCTGGAGGTGACTCAGATCGCGGGCCATGGCGCACAGTGGTGCTGGTCCCCAGCGCCGACCTGCCCATCTCCACACCCTCGTCCCCACCCTGAGTGTGACATCCGTTTGTCTTCCAGGGGCCTGATGCCCAGCCACCGCCAGCAGACGGAACGGTCTGGTTCCTGGGGACGGGGACGCAGGCTGAGGACGCACCTGGTCACTGCGGGCGACTCCATAGCGCAGCTCGTTCACAAAGTGCTCACAGTTCTCACAGGGCAACGAATAGGGCAACTCCTGCCCCACGAGTCCCTCCGCCCGTTGGACGATTTTGCTGGGAGGCAGCGGTGAGTACTTGTCATCGTGTTTGTTATTGACCTGGTACTTGTCTCTCCCCACCACATCATACAGCAGTTCCTTCTTCACTATGGCCTTCTCAGTCAGGGTGGACATGATGCTGGCCACACCAGCTCCCGCGACTTCGCCTAAAGAGTCACAAAGAGGAAACAGAGGGATTGGTCCTGGGGAGGCCCATCGGGGTCCATCCGCAGGCCCCGGACAACCACCCACAAGAGCATGAGCAGAAGGGAAGGGAAAAGGGAGCAGGGTCAGACACATGCTGTGTGGCTTTGGAGAAGGTGCTTGTGGTCTCTGGGCCCTGGCTTCCTTATCTGAAAGGAGGACTGGTGAGGTTTCTAGAGAAGCTGGCCTTCTACACCTGTGGCTCCCCAGTGGCCCTCTTGGTTATGCAAATATGGGCCCTGAGCACACCCTTCTCCCTGGGGGAACAGATTATGAACCTTCTGTGATTCCATCAAGGCTACACTCCCTTGACAAATACAAAGCAGATTACTGCAGAAAGGGTGGACGGATGGGTAGTTTCTACCCTTCTTGGAGCAAAGGGACCAAAACCCCACAGCAACTCCTCGAGATGCATTGCCAGGGAGACCCAGCAGGTCCATCGGCACAGCCCTGGCTGAGATGAGGGGCTGGAAGGAGCAACAAAGCTCCAGAAATTAAACTGCTTATGGGATATTACTCAGCCATAAAATAAGATCTTGCCTTGCAACAACATGGACGGACCTACAGGGTGTGATGCTGAGCAAAATAAGTCAGACAGAGAAAGACAAATACCATATGATTTCACTGGTATGCGGAATCTCAAAAACAGAACAAATGACTAGAGAAATAAACAAAGAGCAGAAACAGGCCTGTAAGACAGAGAATGAATGGGTGATCGCCAGAGGGGAAGGAGAAGGGAGATGGGCAAAATGGGTGAAGGGGAGTGGGCAGAACAGGCTCCCAGTTACAGCATCAATAAGTCACGATGATAAAGGGCCCAGCACAGGGAATAGAGTCAACGGTGTTGTACTAGGCCTTGTACGGGAACAGACAGTGGTTACACTTGTGGTGAGCACAGCGTGCCGTATAGACCTGTCCAGTCACTACCGTGTACACCTGAAACTAATGGAACATCGTGTGTCAACTGCACTTCAAGTAAAAAATAGAAAACTCAAAGAAAGGGAGTCAATACAAGGACCAGGATGGTGGGCAGGGGAGGCTGACGTCAGCACAAGCCTGGGCAGCTCCCCAAGGCAGCCAACCTACACAGTTGGGGATGATGGCCGAAAAAGTGGGTGCGCACCAAAGAGGTGGGCCCCAGAGAGACCCACGATCCCTCAAAGAGCCTCGGTGGCCCTGCTGGGATGGGATCTCCAAGGCCCTTCCCCGCAGGGGAGGCATCCTGTTAGGCGGGGCAGGGACAGTCTTCCACATGACACCATGTGACAGCAACAAGCAATGGCAGGAGGGGTTGATCAGATCCCAGGTCTTTCCAAAGAGGACTAACTCCCTTTGCCCTGAGTAGATAGATTCCTGGGATTTTTAGAAGACCAGGGGAGTTCAGACTTGCTACCAATGGGGCAGGAGATGTTTGAGGGAGCCATTGGAGTAAAGAAAAGAGAGGGTACCATGCGCAGCTCTGAGTTTGTGGAGAGGGTCAGTGTGGGAATGGGACCAGGTGAGTTTCAGCGCCCAGGCAGGGAGGGTGGCAGGGCTGAGACGGGGGTGAGGTAAGCAGGGTGCCTACAGCACAAAACTTAAGGAGGCTCCAACTCTCAGGGCCAGGCATGTACAGAGTCAACCGGTAAGAGTGAGGCTTCCTTAAGCTTTGCGCTGTGGGTGCCACTCTGGTGGGTGGTACAATAGGGCTGACGATCAGAAACTCTGGGTTTGGATTCTGGCTGCATCACTGAGTGGTCCTGACACACCGCTTAACCTTGCTGAGCCAACACTGGGCAAGTCCCCAAATACATACCAAAATTGATACACAAACATGTATCAATAGTCATTTAAAGCTCCTTTTAAAAAATTCTTTCCGGGCGCCTGGGTGGCTCAGTTGGTTAAGCGACTGCCTTCGGCTCAGGTCATGATCCTGGAGTCCCAGGATTGAGTCCCGCATCGGGCTCCCTGCTCAGCGGGGGGTCTGCTTCTCCCTCTGCCCTCTTCCCTCTCGTGCTCTCTCTCATTCTCTCTCTCTCAAATAAATAAATAAAATCTTAAAAAAAAAATATTTCCATTTTTAAAGTTAGTCCATTAAAGAAAATATTAGTTCAACAATCAGAGAAAGGGCATGTAGGTAGGGTACACATTTCATAAGTGAGTTTTGGGAAATGTCAGATAGGCAGTGTAGCATCATGGGAAAAGGCAGAGTCAAGAGACAGCCAGAGTTCGAGTCGCACCTCCACCACTTACCTGCCCTGTGACTTTGGCCAAGGTGCTTAAACTTCCGTGAATCCCCAATTCCTTGTAGAGCAGGGACAATAACAGCCCTACCTGTCCCTACAGCACCGTGACAGGGGGAGGGGCTCCCAGGATTACAGAATCTGGCCACGTAAGGTGGCTTCTCCGGTACCTGGCACAGGGTGAGTGCCCAGCAAGTGTCATCTCTCATCGTCGGAGTTGTTCCCCAAGCTTCTTTCCAACTCTAATCTCTACCATTTTCTGAGTAGCATGAGGTCAGTCCTGACCTATCTGGCAAGGTTCCCACGAAGCTCTAGTGAGAAGATGCATGTGGAAGCATCTTTTCCCTTTAAGGAGCATCCCCTGCCCAATGACTGTGGCACACCTGTCCCCAGGGCCCCTGCCATGCCCTCCCCTGCCTCCTGTCCACCAGGTACATCCTCAGTGCAGTCAGTCAACGCTGCGGCCCGGCTGTGTGGGGCCTTGTCCAAGGTGCTGGAGGCAGCAGCATGAACTACAGGGCACCTGCCCTCAGGTAGTTCACATTCCAGTGAGAGGACCCACCCTGACAATGAACAAATAGACAAAATCGAGTACTTCCGGGTAGTGGAAGTGCTACGGGTTAGATTAAGTGAAATATTACAGAAGGGGGTGACTTGGGGAGGCCCAGCATGAGAAGGGCCACCCCAGGGAATGGGCATTGAGAGGAGTCTGGAATGATGGAAAGGAGGCAGCCGTGCTGAGATCCAGGGAAGACCATCGCATGCAGAAGGAAGGGCAAGACAAGGGCCTTGGGAAGGAAGAGCATGACATGCTCCAGAGGCTGTAGAAGGCCAATGTGGCTGACGTCGAGAGACCCAGGAGGACAGGAGAGAAAGATCCGGGTCAGAGAGGCAGGCAGAGGCCAGACCACACCAGGCCCCACGGGCCACTGTACAGACTTGGAAGCTCATTCTATGTGTGATAGAAAAGCCAATCAAGAATTTTAAGGGACGGGGCACCTGAGTGGCTCAGTCGTTAGGCATCTGCCTTCGGCTCGGGTCGTGATCCCAGGGTCCTGGGATCAAGCCCCGCATCGGGCTCCCTACTCAGAGGGAAGCCTGCTTCTCTCTCTCCCATTCCCCCTGCTTGTGTTCCCTCTCTCGCTGTGTCTCTCTCTGTCAAATAAATAAATAAAATCTTTAAAAAAAAAAAATTTTAAGGGACATCTTCCTGACTGGTCTTTGGTGAGTTCTGTCTCAGAGCTGGTGAGAAGCACCCCCACACCCTGGTCATTGCCTTTTCCTCATCCCCCCAGGGACCTGTCCTACTTAACTTGGGGTGCTGTGATGGGGAGGTGGCCAGGGGAGGTCTGGCACTCAAGAGTGGTTAGGTGCCAACAGTAAGATGTCTTCAAGAAATGCCAAAACTGGGTACCCTGACCCCAACTTCAAAGCCACGGCCATTACTCCAGATGGCCAGTTCAAAGGCATCAACCTCCCTGACTACAAAGGAAAATACGTTGTGTTCTTCTACCCTCTTAACTTTTCCTTTGTGTGCCCCATGGAGATCATTGCTTTCAGTGACAGGCAGAAGAATTTAAGAAACTCAACTGCCAAGTGGCTGGTGCTTCTGTGGATTCTCATTTGTGTCACCTGGCATGGATCAACACACCCAAGAAACAAGGAGGAATGGGACCCATGAACATTCCCCTGGTATCAGACCCTACGCGTACATCGCTCAGGACTATGGAGCCTTAAAGGCTGATGAAGGCATCTCGTTCAGGGGTTTCTTTATTATTGATGATACAGGTTTCCTTTGGCAGATGACAAAGGATGACCCCCAACCTCCATCAGCCACTCTGTGGGTGAGACTCTGAGACTACTTCAGGCCTTCCAGTTTACTGACAAGCATGGGGAAGTGCCCCCCACTGGTTGGAAGCCTGGCAATGATACCAACAAGCTTGCCATGCAGAGCAAAGAATACTTCTCTAAGCAGAAGTGAGCGCCGGGCCATTTTAGGGCCAGGCTGCAGTGGGTGGCCATGAAAACAAAATCTCTTTTGTACTACTGTCATGCTGAAAACACAAGACTTTAGATTCAGTGCAGATGTGGTATGGGACAGGACAGGCCTCTCCTGCAGGGGCTGGGGAGGCCAGCCTTTCTTCCTCTGGAGAGAATGGCCTGAGCCATGCTGTGGGGCAGGTCAACTGATGTGGCCAGTAGCGGGACATCACTTTTGATCTTTTGTGGTTTCTATTAAATTTGAACTGAGGGGGAAAAAAAGAGAATTTTAGGGAGAGAAGTAACATAATCCGATTCATACTTTAGAATGATCGTGCTGGCTGCCCAGGAAAGGAGGGACTGACCACAAGTGGGCAAGAGGCAGAGAGACCAGCTGCAAGCTGCAGGAGCTTCAGATGGGCATGGAAGTGCAGACGGTGAGAAGTGATCAGACCCGGAGTCTCTCTTGAAGAGAGAGGCCACCAGATTTCCCATTGCATTAGATACAGGGTGAAAAGGATTGAGGATGATACCTAGATTTTTGCCTCCAGCAGCTGGATAGTGTCATCCACTGGAGCCTTTCTTTCAGGGCATGTCAAGTTCAATGTGCCAACTGGACACCCACATGGAGATGCCAAGTAGTCAAGAGGTTATACAAGTCTGAAGCTGAGTGGGGAGGTCTATGCTGAGGGGATGCTTAGGAAACATCCACCGATGGAAAGTATTGGAAGCCAGGGGCCCGATGAGGTCACCTGGCGAGAGTAAGGAGGAGGGATATGGGAGAGGAGGAAGAGGAGCCCACACAGGAGACCAAGAAGGAAGGCCCAGTGAGAGAGGAAGAAAGACAGGTGCCAGATGAAGATCAGAGAGAGGTTACTCGTGTCAAATGCTACAGAGAAGCCAAATAAGCCTTGACCAGAAAATTAATCATTGGCTTTGTCAAGATGTGGAAGGTCTAGGGGAGCCTAGGTGGCTCAGTCATTAAGCGTCTGTCTTCGGCTCAGGTCATGATCCTGGGATCGAGCCCCGCATCGGGCTCCCTGCTCCGTGGGAAGCCTGCTTCTCCCTCTCCCACTTCCCCTGCTTGTATTCCCTCTCTTGCTGTGTCTCTCTCTGTCAAATAAATAAATAAAATCTTAAAAAAAAAAAAAGAGGGGCGCCTGGGTGGCTCAGTTGGTTAAGCGACTGCCTTCGGCTCAGGTCATGATCCTGGAGTCCCGGGATCGAGTCCCGCATCGGGCTCCCTGCTCGGCGGGGAGTCTGCTTCTCCCTCTGACCCTCCTCCCTCTCATGCTCTCTGTCTCTCATTCTCTCTGTCTCAAATAAATAAATAAAATTTAAAAAAAAAAAAAAAGAAAAAAAAGAAAAAAATGTGGAAGTACTTTCAGTAGCCTTGATAAGCGCTCCTTTGGGAGGGGGCTGAAAAAGAGAGCCTGGTGGAGGGAACCGAAGACAGAATGTCAAGAGGAAGTGCTGAGAGCCATGGTGGACAATCGAAGATTCGCTCTACAGGGAATTAGCTAGAGAAGACGTGAGGTCAAGGGGGTGTCCGTTCATTTTATCAACAGGAGGTATTACAGTGTTTTCTATGCCAGTCAGAATAATGTAGCAGAGGGCGCCTGGGTGGCTCAGTTGGTTAAGCGACTGCCTCCGGCTCAGGTCATGATCCTGGAATCCCGGGATCGAGTCCCACATCAGGCTCCCTGCTCAGCAGGGAGTCTGCTTCTCCCTCTGACCCTCTTACCTCTCATGCTATCTCTCATTCTCTCTCACTCAAATAAATAAATAAATAATTTAAAAAAAAGAATAATCTAGCAGAGAGGGGGACCATGATAATACAGGAGGTGAGGAATTTGAGGAGCAAAGTGCTCACGAAATTAAGAGTGGGGGTCTAGGACCCACACACAGAGGCTGGCTTTTTAAACAAGGACGGGGCATGTTTTGCATCTTAACTGAAGAAAAGGCAGACTAGGTGGGTGCAGATGTTGGTGGTTTGGTTCATTAGGGCTGGGGAAGGTGCCATATACTCTGGCTCCTTCTGATTCCTCCGTAAGTACACGGTGAGGCCATTAGTTAGAGGTGAAGGGGTGGGCAAAGGACGTGTCCAAGAATGTCCACAGCTACTGTATTCTCAGCAGCCATACATGGGAACCAGTCCAACGTCCATCAGTAGAAGCATGGATAACAAGCTGAGGCATTTTCATAGAACAGAAAACACAGAGAATGAAAAAGAACTCCTCCTACTGCTCACAAACCGATGGCTCTTACGGGCAAGGGAAGAAGCCAGACACAAAAAAAGCCCAGACTATGCGGCTCCTCCCACACGAAGGTCTAGAATGGGCAAAACTAATTTACAGCAAGAGAAGCTAGAAGAGTAGTTGTCTCTAGGGAAGAGGAGAGGAGGCTGAAGAGGCCGGAGGGGGCCTCATAGGGTGGTGGAAATGTTCTAGATCTTGATGTGGGTCACTGTCACAAGGAGACTTTTTTTTTAATTCCCTGTTTATACACTTTACTACAGGTGTGCACTTTACCTTATTTATCTTATACCTCAGTTTAAGTAACAAGTTTCAGAAAAGGGATGGGGGAAGTCTCACAACGATTCTCCTAGTGAACCACTCTTAGCCTCAGTTTTACAGATGATGGAAACCAAGACTAGAGAGTAGAAACTAGATTCGTCACCAAGCCTGCTGCCCAAAAGCCCATGCTCTCTCAGGGAGTTTTACACTGAAGAGGTGGATGTGTTTTATAAACACCCACAGTATTTAAAACCCTAAAAACAGAGCCATCCCCTTGGAAGCCCACTTCAACCCCTGTAGGGAACCCCTAGGGTTCCAAGAGTAGAGTTTGAAAACCACTGCCCCACACCAACCTGCCTGAGGAACGAACCACCGGTCAGGGATCAATGAGAGAGCTGGGCTCCCCTGTTACCCACAGCTGCCCCAGCTCCCTCTCCTCCCAGCCCCAGCACAGCAGAGGCCCTCGGCGCCCTTACTTGGGGGAGCCAGGTGGACCACGTATCCATCGCCAACGTAGATGGCCCAGTGTCTGTAGAAAGGGCGGAAAATCTCAATCAGGTCTCCAACTTTGGGCTCTGGCTGCAAAACCAAGAACAAGGCTGTTAGAGGTGGTACAAGTGAGACCTTGGAACCAGGTGGCAGAGGCTGCGGTCCCTTGCCAGAGGCTGTCAAATTGGGAGGGTGTCTCCCAGACATTCCCCAACCTGGCCTAGGGCCTGACCAAGAATTGGCATGTCTCTGGCCATAATGTCCTCCTGGCTGATCATCCTGATGATGAGTGGCTCTGTGTGTGTGTGTGTGTGTGTGTATGTGAATAAAGGAAAATTCTTTCTCCTGTAAACTGTACTCACACCTACACTTCTGACACCAGATATGTGGTTTTTCCACACCAAGCAATCCAGTCCTCAGTGGAAATGGACTGGATATCCTGCAGTTTATCTCAATTCTGACACTAACTGCCCGGAGCTAACGCAGACCCCAGGGGTGAAGGGCTCAGTCCCACCAGACTGCCCCCCCAAATTCATCCCCAGCGGCCAGCCACACGTCCAGATTGTCCCCTGAGCTTCTGACTCCGCTAGCTATAAAATAGGGGTTTCCATAACCCCCTCCTCAGGTTCTATAATTTGCTAGAATGGCTCACAGAACTCAGGAAAACAGTTTACTTCCTAGATTACCAGTTATAAAGAATTCAACTCAGGAACAGCCAGATGGCAGACAGGCGGGGGAGGGGCAGAGCAGCCACGCCCTCTCCAGAGGCCCGAGTCCCAGCACCTCCGCGTGTTCAGCCCAGAAGCTCCCCAACCCCTTTCAGTTTTTACCGAGGTTCCCTCCCACAGGCAGGACGTGTTAAATCATTGGTCCTAATGAGTAACACCCTCCAGCCTCTCTCCCCGCCCAGGAGGTTGGAGGCGGGGCTGAAATTTCCAGCCCTCTAATCGGGTGGGCTCCTCATCACCGCCTTAGCATAAACTCAGGTGGGGATGAAAGGGGCTTATGATGAATAACAAAAGACTCATCTCTCCTATCACTCAGGACGTTACAAGGGTTGTAGAAGCCCAGTGCAGGGAATTGGGAACAAAGACCAAAACTGTGTTTCTTATTGCCTCACAAGGAGTGTGCGTCGGGGTGCGTGTCTATGTGTGTGCGGGGAAGTGGGGGGAGCGGCTCGGAGCCCTGCCCTACTGGGGAACCGGGAGAGTGGAGCAGAGCGGGAGACAACTTCGAGAGGTTCAAGATCACTTCCATTCAGCATTGTTGAGGCGCCGACACCAGATACTGTGCTAAGTGCTGGGGACGGGGGCATTCGATTTGGACCAGAATCAGGGGTGACAAGCTTCTCTGGTCCAAGCCAGTCTTAAATCTCTTTAATGAGCGAGGAAACTAGCCTTTTAGAGCACCTAGAGAAGGATCCCCTCTGTTCCTTGGCTGAGTCTTCAGCGAGTGAAGACTCTAGGGAGGGGGCTCTGACATGTGCCTCTCATGGGCTGACCTGTAGGGATTTGCCCACATCCCACCGCCAAGCCCCCGTGGACCTGACTGAGAGATTCCATCAAAGAGGTGATGGGAAGGACTCACCACTGCGTGGCCTCCCTTGGGATAAAAACAAAGGACATTAGGAAGAGCCAATCACAAACTCCAGGAGGCGTATGAAGCAAGGTCAATGGTAGTTCATTTCTATTTATACAAACATTAAAACTGCAAATACCTATTACATATGGCAGGAAAAAAATCTTTTCACAAAAATGTTATGGATAAATCATGTTCTCTTATGCAGTGATTGTAATTAGTCTGCCAAAAAGAAAGCACCCAGACCTTACTGAGAACCTATTTCAGAACAATGGACAATGGTTGCAATTTATGAATCCCACTTGTTTTCCAGAATAAAAGAAAAATATATATATTGTTTGGTAAGAATTAGGAGGCCTTGAGAAATCCCCCAAAAGGGAATTTAACGGGGGGGGGGGGGGCGGCATTCTCCACGAATAAGCAAGGACATAAAGACGAGGCAGGGATCCAACCCTCGGTTGGATTAAACACCGATTAAACAGGAGACAGTGTGAATGTCAGTAATACGATGTCAAGTAATGAGCAGTCAGTGGGTACATGGACCCAAGGAGCTCACTGTGTTCCAGACCAATACCAAGGAAAGGTGGCCTACACATAGAAAGATGCCTGAGGGGCGCCTGGATGGCTCAGTCGCTAAGCATCTGCCTTCGGCTCAGGTCATGGTCCCAGGGTCCTGGGATCGAGCCCCACATCCGGCTCCTGCTCTGCAGGAAGCCTGCTTCTCCCTCTCCCACTCCCCCTGCTTCTGTTCCCTCTCTCGCTGTGTCTCTCTCTGTCATATAAATAAAATCTTAAAAAAAAAAAAAAAGTTTAAAAAAATTAAATTAAAAAAAAAGAAAGATGCCTGAAAAAATGGCAAAAATATCTACAAAGAAATTCAAACCTTATCACCATAAACATCACAAGATAATGAAGCAGCGAATGCACGCTACTGAGTAGAAGTCATACCCAAAAAGTAACGCAATTGTTGTAACCCATTTATGTCCCATCCCAGAAAAGGCATCACTGTAGGACAGAAAGTGATCAGTGATTGCCAGGGGCTGGGAGTGAGGAGAGGGGCTGACAACAAAGGGGCAGGAGGGAACTGGGGGGCAACTAAACTTTCCCTACTGTTCTGTGCCTGACGGTGGTGATAGTTATGCAATTGGATGTGTTGATGAAAACTCATAGGAACAAACATTAACGGGGTGCCTGGCTGGCTCAGTCGGTGGAGTGAGCAACTCTTGATTTCAGGGTCGTGAGTTCAAGCCCCATGCTGGGTGTACAGACTGCTAAAACAAATATAAACCTTTTAAAAAATTAAATTATGTTTTAAAAAAGAACACTAAAAGGAATTTTAGACCTCAGTTTTTTTTAACACAACATTTTTTTAATGTATTTAAATTTTTTTTAATTTGGGGGCGCCTGGGTGGCTCAGTCAGTTAAGCATCTGCCTTAAGGTCGGGTCATGATCTCAGGGTCTTGGGATCTGCCCTGCCGCTGCCGTGAGACTCCCTGCTCAGCGAGGAGCCTGCTTCTCTCTCTCCCTCTGCCTCTCCCCCCACTGCTCATGTGCTCTCTCTCTCACTCTCTCTCTCGCTCTCAAATAAATAAAATCTTTAAAGATATTTGAGAGCGAGAGAGAGAACACAAGCAGGGGGAGAGGGAGAAGCTGGCTCCCCACTGAGCAGGGAGCCCGATGCGGGGCTCAATCCCAGGACCCTGGGATCATGACCTGAGCCGAAGGCAGACGCTCAACGACTGAGCCACCCAGGCGCCCCTCAGTTGGTTTCTCAGAGTCCACAGTCTCTCATGGTTTGTCTCCCCCTCCGATTCCCCCCCCCTCATCTTTCCCTTCCTACTATCTTCTTTTTTTTTTTCTTAATAAATAATGTATTATTTGTTTCAGGGGTAAAGGTCTGTGATTCATCACTCTTGCACAATTCACAGTGCTCACCATAGCACATACCCTCCCCAGTGTCTATCACCCAGCCACCCCATCCCTCCCACCCCCCACCACTCCAGCAAACCTCAGTTTGTTTCCTGAGATTAAGAATTCCTCATATCGGGGCGCCTGGGTGGCTCAACCATTAAGTGTCTGCCTTCGGCTCAGGTCATGATCCCAGGGTCCTGGGATCGAGCCCCACGTCGGGCTCCCTGCTCAGTGGGGAGTCTGCTTCTCCCTCTCCCACTCCCCCTCCTTGTGTTCCCTCTCTCTATCAAATAAATAAAATCTTAAAAAAAAAAAGAATTCCTCATATCAGTGAGATCATATGATACATGTCTTTCTCTGATTGACTTATTTCACTTAGCATAATACCCTCTAGTTCCAGAAAGGAAAAAAGTTTTGATTTTTAAAATACACAATCAAATTGCCTGCCCCTTGTAAGGGCAAAGGTACCTATTTCCAAATATGCACAAGTTCAAAACATACCACCACTCAAGGACACTTTTTTTTTTTTAAAGATTTTATTTATTTATTTGAGAGAGAGAATGAGATAGAGAGCATGAGAGGGGGAAGGGTCAGAGAGAGAGGCAGACTTCCCGCTGAGCAGGGAGCCCGATGTGGGACTCGATCCCGGGACTCCAGGATCATGACCTGAGCCGAAGGCAGTCGCTCAACCAACTGAGCCACCCAGGCGCCTCAAGGACACTTTCTTAAAATGAAGTGAAAGGGGGCGCCTGGGTGGCTCAGATGGTTAAGCATCTGCCTTCAGCTCAGGTCATGATCTCCAGGTCCTGGGATCCAGCCAACGTTTGGCTTCCAGCTCAGCAGGGAGTCTGCCTCTGCCCCTCCCGCTGCTTCTCCCCCACTGCTCATGCTCTCTGTCTCTCTCTCTCTCTCTCAAATGAATAAATAAAATCTTAAAAAAAAAAAATGAAGTGAAAGGTGGTAGACTCATCTGGGGAGCCCCGCCCACGAGTTTCTAACTAGTGCAAGGACTCGATTTTCACATGGCAACAGCGATAATCTTTTAGAGACGGAGCTAAGTTGAAAAATGAGAATGAGCTCTGCAATGCAACACCATTTATATCAATTAAAGATACACACACGCAAACCAATGATACACATCTTATAAGAACCATACCTGAAAACATCATTTTAAAAAACCAACAAGAACAAGAACAGAAGCATATGGACTAAAGAACACACATTAAATACATCACGGTGCTGGCCCCTGGGAAGACGGAGGAAGGCATGATGATACAAAGGGACCAAAACAAAACAAAACAAAACCAAAAACCCGCAAGAGAGGGGGTCTTGTAGGGACCAGTGAGGACAGGGTGTCATGAACTGAGAATATGAATGACGTCACCCTCTATCATAAAATCCAACTAGAGAAACAATAACTTAATGATACACATGAGCCAACTCAGCTGAATCAAAGTGAAGAACTCAAGGAACTAGGTTATAAAATTAGAAGTATGAGAACTGCAGCCCAGGAGCCAAATTGGTGCCTCTGCTTATTTTTGTATGCAAGCTAAGAATGTTTTTACATTTTGAAAATGGTTGGGGGAAGTCAAAAGAGGAA